AAATCCGTTTCGATCGATACGTTCGATCCTCGTAAATAGAATATTACTCCCGCCTCTTGGATTCCGTGCTAACTAATCTCCCAACTCATCATCGAAAAGTTAATAACTAACGGTCGTTTGAAAACATTAATGCTCTTCGAAATTCTGTCGAGAAATCCCTCGTTTTCCAGTTAGACGTCTCGCGAACGAACTTGTTTCATGAGAAAAGTTTCAAATTCCGCGCGGCAGCCTTCGGTAATTTGTCTCCACTCGCTGAATACCTAATAATATATCCACGCCTGCAATTCGAGAGACTTTGATTTCGGGAGTGTACAGAAACTCTCGTGGAAAGAGTTCCGAGACAGAGAGAGTGCCATCTCAACTTGTTCCTGCGAATGGATCGACGATCTACGAGGAACCTTCCCGAGAGGAACATCGCGGGAAACGAAGGGTGTGCTCGAACAATATAAAAAAAGTACCCTTATTTCGAAATCAATTTTCGTTCGATCTCTGTTTTTAACAGTTATCGAGCACTTGCCCGACCAGAAGTAATGGAGAAAGCATTTTCGACGTAAGAAATTCTTACTTCTTGGGTCCGTTTTTAAACGAGAAATCGCATCGCGGAACGCACCGCGGACGACGATACTCCAGAACGAGAAATGAAAGTTCACCGTCAATGTAAGAACCCGTGACACAATGTGCATTCGTGGAGAGCCCTTCAGCGGGACTAGGTCGACCACGATATTCACTCTTTAGCTCCGTCTCATATCGAAACGGAATAGACAAAGAGCTCGAACTCGAACAATAAGACCTAATATCGCTCGGTTCAACCGTGCTCCCCCGCATTTCCTCGCATTTTTTTATGCAAACGACGTCGCATTGCTGCTCATTCCAACCGCGCGTGTGCTTTGCACGTCCTAATGCACTCGTAGCTTTCTGGAAGACCAGTCGATTATTGTGTAAACGCTTTTTCGCGGTCTTTCATCGACGAGGACTTTTGACGCGGAATTAAACTGTTTCTCAACCCTTTCTTAATAAAATTATGAGATACGATTTGGAAGAACCATTTGTTTAAATTCTGGTTTAATCCCACTGTCAATGGGTACAAATTTTAATTCGCGATCGAAACATATGTTTGGTTAATCGGACGCCGGTAAAAAGCAGCAATTATACCGTTTGGTGCGTCGTTGTTTCTCTTCTTTTTAGCCGGCAGTGACAAGGCGAGAAATCACTCGACGGTCGTTTCGCGAATGACCCCGCAATTTCATGGCTCTCCCGAGGTGTCGTGCGGGAGAACACGTTACAGTAATCGCGGGAAAAAGCAGACTTGCGGCGATTCGGTATCGACTTGCAACACAGAACGGAAATTAGTCGGCAAATAGGAACGACCGTGCGCGAAAAAAGCTTTTCCCAGACGACAATTACCGTCCCAGGCCGCTGATGTGTTCGTTATCGTCGCTATTTTTTCAGCAGGGATATCCCAGATTAAACTCGAACGAGAATTTCCATTCGTAATGAAAGCACAAAAAACTACGCGAATGACCATCCGCACGGCAACTATTTATGTTACGCTATAGAGATTGTTTGCACGACGTCGATGTTGCGAGTTATAAAAATGTCACTGCCCGATATTTTCCGTACGCTTTCGAAATGCCGTTCTGTTCGATTGCTGACGCGCGTTTCGACATTCGATACCAACGAATTATCGATTAATTTAAGTTCGATCGTAACGCGCGTTAGACACCGATACGCTCGATCTATCGTCCGTATATTTCATTTACTTCACTCAACATTTAATAAGTAATTAATCGGTTTCTCGATTATTTAAAGAAATCTCTATATTTTTCGCCTTATATTTGCAATCATTGTCTGCGCAAAGGTGTTTTTAAACGCACTGTAAAACACTGATTATTAATATTCATCGGTATCAAAGAGTACCGAACAAGTGTATCTGATTAATTATTTCTTATGATCGCGGTGCAAATTTATCGATTCGCGTACAATTATTGTGCCGTATAGACAAGTAGACTAATAATTTATACATTCCCGTTTATTGAATTTGTCGAGCACGTTAAATTAGCTCCGCTAATTAATTGGAACGGCAAAGGAATAAAATTTGCAACAACACTGAACACGATTGTTCGATTTCGGGTCGAAAAACAATACGCGAGATATGAAGTGTTACATTCGCTGTCACCGGGACTGTTTACAGATACGAAATTAAGTCAAAGATGGCCTCGTTACGATTATTATATAATATTCGAATATCTATAACGATAAATAATCATTTACGGGCGTTAAATGCGACCAATCGCGTACGCGCGTCATTCTCACTTTGCAATAACCGTTCGATTCATTATACATTCTCGTTTCATCGCACGGGATTATCTACAAGTCATTTTGAATCAGCAGACAAATAATTACTAAACTTCGTTTCGCGCGTGGAGTTTGTTTTTAAATTATGAAAAAAATCGTTGTAATCGGAGAAGCGTTAAGGGTTCTAGCCGCGCAAGTTGAAATTAAAAAATGATACGAAATAAGTAAAATAAGTTCGCGCGAAATAAGTTCGTAATTGGATACGGAACTCTCGTCTATGAAACAAAGTAATTTCAGTTGTACGCGGGAGCCTGATACGTATCCAAATAATGAGAGCAAATAATTCGAAGTAACTACGTAACATTCGTACGTGACAACATTAGCATACAAAAATTTCTAATTAGCATTCCCGTGTTATTCCCGTTATAAAATTTCTATCTGGACGTAGCTGAAATGGTCCGAACCAAATGTCTCCTTTCCGCGTGATAATCTCGGCGAACTTAATTGCAAATATTTCGGATTAAAAACGTATTCGCTGACCACCGTGTTTCAAAGTAAAAGACCGTAAAATGTCTTGCTTAAATTTTAATCCCGGGAATATAATATTCAGTTCGAAATAGCAATAGCGAAAAAAAGGGTGAAGTTGCAAGCAGGATGTAAGAGAGACGGTCGTTTTCTCGAAACCTCGTAGAAGCGTTCGCTCGGTGGCTCCTCGAGCCTCGCTAATGCGCGGATAAGTAAATAAATGAACAAGAAACGAAAGAAAGAAAGAAGAAAAAAAAATGGTGGAAATGGTTGAAGGGTACAACCGGTTTAATTAAAAGCGTGTAATTAATCGTAATTATGCCAGTAGTTCTCTTTTCGACCGGCGTGACGTTTCGCAAGACACGGCTCAATGGGTAAACGAATTAACGCCAACGACGAGAATAAAGATGATGAGCTGCCGCTGGGAACTCCAGCTATAGAAGACACTCCAGCCTGTTTGTTTCTGTATTAAACGTTAACTTAATATTACGTGTTAAATTAACGAAGTCAAACGGTCCGCGTTCTAAATTTTTTTCCTCCGTTTCTCCTCGCGACACGAAACGAACGGCATAATTTCTTACTACTGCGCGACAGAGCTGTCCAGGGAGTAACAGGATTTGTTTTTATAGAAACGATAACTCGTTTCTACAAAGCGTGTCAACTACCATTCGAGCGAAAAACGGATCTATGCAGATCGTGGAAAGTAGTCGGATCACTTTCCAATACCATCGACCACCGTAAATTTCCCTTCGCCTTGTAATCACGGTCGCCTCTATTTAAAGCGCGCAAGCCACGCATGTAACAATTTCTAGCAGAATACGTAACACGTTGATCGATGCGTGGAACACAGTCAGAGGGAAATTAGTATTATCGGATCGTAGAATAAATTTTTGGAGTTACTCACGATCGCTGGCAGGCGCGTCTAGTTTTCAGGAAACGGTACGTACCTGGAAAAAAACCATGTTACGATAATGTAGTATAATTAAGAGAATTTCGTTCTAATATGGTTAAATAATCGAGGAATTCCCGGTATGATACGTGATGTTTTTCTCTTGTTTTTTTCTGTGAAAATGATGCATGAGAAATTTTTATTCCAATCTATCGGAATCGCGAATCCGCGAGAAGTGTACATATTGTTCGTGTCCGCTAAAATTTTTACGAAGTGTTTGCATTTTTATTGTTTCGTATATACATGTTAATCCTCGTAAATTGATCGTGGAATCCGTGGGAATAATTTGAAAGTAATTTTATGCGTTCACAACGCTTCGGGGAGGGAAATCCTGTTGTTTGATAATAGTTTTACAACTTTTCGGTTGATAATATTCAACCGCGACCCACGCTTTGGGAATCTGTGGTTCACATGGAAACATGCAATTTCATGATTTTTGGTCAAGGGAACAGTAATTGGGTCTTTCGTTTGGACAGTGTTTGGTCAGCCGATTAATAATTATAGTGTCAGTAATTCGGTCAAACACATTTTACGGGACGACAGCAATGATTTTCAAAACGTACTTTAAATTATTGGATGTCTACATAGAAGTAGAGATTCTGAGAGTTGCAAGAGAAAAAAGAATGCAATATTGCCAGAGTTGATCGTTCTTGTTAAAGGATTTGTGTTGATAAAGAGGTACATGCGTGTATGTACTATAATTCAGAAAAACAGCAGATTTAATACAGGAAAATCTGGTCCATAAATCTACCGTTAGATTCGTGTCACCGATTACTTTGATCACGCGTGAGTTTCGACGTTATTTCGTAAGAGAAAAGCCTCGTTTGCCAGTATTTGTGGGGGAGCGGCTAGCAGGGGTGAATCCCCAGGCCGTAAAAGAAACGGTGCAGGTGGCGTGGGTCCAAAATTCGGTTGCCAGGGCAGGGGAACGCGTCGAAGGGAGCGTAAGCTGGTAAGCAGAACCGATCCGTTCGAAGGCGGTTGGTGGTCTGAGAGGACGGATGTAAGCGCGCCTCCTTTCGTTCCTTTCCCACCACGGAGGTAGCCCACGACGGCGGACCACGGGGTCTCGAATGGTGGCAAAAACAAAAGTCGACGAACGTACGATACGTTCTGCTCCAAGTGTCGGGGAATACTAGCGGCGTCGTGGCTTCGGAAACCGCCAGTTTCCGCGTGGACTTCGGCACGACGAGTACGCCGATACGCGACGCGTGTGTGTCATCGTCGACAGTTCGCACAAGCGTGCACACGATCCCGTGGATTCCCGGGGGAAAAATGCGTTCGTCGAGTGTCGTTTACGTGCTGCTGAGTGTTCTGGGTGAGTAAGCGAACTGTCCAGAGGCGTCGTCCTCGGGAAAAACTTCCGGAACGAGTTCTCCGCGGGACTCCGTTTCGAGAGTCCTCGTCGATAAGTTACACGCGTTGGTCGATACCGTATCCGTCGCAACGCGTGCGCATCCTCGAGCCCCGATCATCTTAATGGAGACATCGCGTCGTTAACGCGCTGTTCGACCGGTCTTTGACGAGACCCGGGCACCCTCGATGGGCAGAGAAAAAAGAATCCGGGATGCCGTGCAGGTGCAAACCGATCGGGTGCACGCGGCTCGAATGCGAAACGCGCGATCCCAGGACGGTGTAAACACGTATTCCCCGACACGTGCCGCCTACGGTCCCGCGGGAATCGACGCGGACCGGTTAAGTGCGACCGCTATTTCCGTACGAAAGTACCGGGAGTGCGGCGAAAATTGTGGTGCAACAGGATGGTTCCGCGTTTCGATACGACCGAGCAAACCCGGGGAAGAATTTACATACGCGGCGCGAGCCGAAATATCCCCGGGACCGGCACACCGCAGGGGAAGACGAAACGAACGGTTCTTTATTTATCGTCTGGATGATATGTTTGTGCAAGAAACACTTTGTCGCGAATTACAGACGTCCAGGGTTTATTTTTTACAATTGCGAAACTCAGAAATATTATTTGGCGCCAACTTGCATTGAATATCCTAAGTAGAAGAAAAACCACGTTTCAATCTAATCGAGAACGACGAATGCTTTTAGTAAACGTATTCTAAACATACGTTCGATCGAGCGCAGGGCTAGAAATTTAGTAGCAAATTCGAGTTTCGATGAATTCAAATTCTGGACGATTCGAATAACACTCCGATAACGCTATCGGCCACGTTTTGTTTGTGATTCTGGGTTATGCATCGATACATATTCAGTGTATGGAAAATACAAAGCTTTAAACTCAATTTTCTCGCGCAGCTTCATGTAGTGTTTTCTACGAATTCTGATCATTATTATTTATGGCCAGAACTATGCACAAAAATTTGTTCCCGAATTCGTAACTAGAGCTCTCTTTTACCCGTAACACAAACACTACCAATTTTCGTAAATTCGAATTGTAAATTCGATTATCGATGAAACAAAGTGTATGTAAAATTGTAAGAAAGTTTATGACGAACAGTGTGTGCCACGGAAACATAAAGACACAATGGATAATATATCAGCATTAATTACAAAATATAATAATTCATTTCTATTTATATCTTGTACACGATGCGGTTAATAATTAAATTTCTATTTTGTGAACCAACAAAAAAATTTCATTATTTCCAAACACCGGTCGCAGGAAATAGAAGCCCCGTTATTCGGGATAGTTGTTTTTTGTTTTCGTTTCGAACAAAATTTGCCCACGTCGAGTGCACATGCTCTTAGCAGGAAAAAGGGTTAACAAAGAGAATCACACCTGAACGTGTTGCTGTCCGTGGCACTTTCGACGTTATATTTCCCCCAAAAAGCGAGACCCGCGCGAAAAAAGTTTGTTTCGCAATTTTTCAAGCATTTTTTGTCGCCGCGAGTTTTCGTGTATCTCTTCCCATTAAGCGGATAATCCGAATGGCGGTCGAACACGTTCGTGTTTCCGGTCAGCATCTGGTGTGCACCGACGACGGCGGACGGCGACGTCGTCGTCGCCAGGCTGAACACCAAGGGAAATCAAGCGTTCTCCGCTTTTATTTGCATAAAATGATGGGACTCGCCACGTCACGTTCGAAACGTCGGCCTCTCGACTCCGGGGTTCGCGCGCGGCCCGTTCACGCTGATTTTCCTCTCGAATTTCATTACGCGTCGGCCCCATAGGTGCTACACGACTCCGCGGAAAACAACGCGCGTCTCCGATCATTAAGTCCGCAAGTAGATGCAAATTAAAGGACTCGCGCGTACCGGCTAGAAAATTTTCCCGCGGAATTTTCCAGCGGTCTGCAAATTTCAAAACCGCGGGATCCGATATTCCTGGAGCTACCACGACGCTGATACGGCCCCGTCGGGCTGCGATATCGGGAGGGAATACGACGAGACCACTGTGTTAACAAAGGAAAATTCAAAAGGAAGAAATTCCCTGCTTCGTTCCTCGAAACGAATAAAAAAATGCAGGTGTCATAAAGGTTTCTGTTCTTCTTGATACTTGATTTAATCGTCTAACGAACAATACATTGCGTAAAACACGATCCTGAAGTTTGTCGTGTCATTACCACATGGCACGTTGAAGATTCCAACATCTTGCATAACAATTTCAGCGTCGAATCTTTTACGAAACGCCTTCCGCATCGAAACATTTCGTGCACAGAAATATTTCCTCCCTTCAAGGATACGATGCAGATGTGGGTTTCCAGAATTCTATGCAAGAATTCGGGACGCATAACCCTGCCATCGATAAAAATCTTCAAACCCGATTTACTCCTTAATCCTAATTCTACCTGTATACAACAAGGTTTGAATAATTTTAGGGCAGGTTATACTACTTGAACAGGAATACAATTTTTAATAAAAATAGCGAATGTGAAACAGTCCTAAATAATTTTTTCAAATTCTGTATTCAGAAATATGCAGACATGACTCGTACGAAAAATTCCAATTATTCCTGTAACAAGTTACATTTTGGAGGGTGGATTTCACCCCTCTGAATCGAATATTTGCATACTTCTGCCAGTACCATAAATTTGAAAACTTTCACCTGTCGCAATGAGGGTGTATTTGGAATACCTTATTGCGAAATCGAATGAAACGGAGAGTGACGATAGTGTTTTCCGATTTTCGATTCGAAGAAAATATTCGCGAGTTCCGGTTCACCCGACACGTAGATGTGAATCGCGTATCTCGAGTTTGACGCGTCATTACCAGCTCGACGGAGCATGCGTTCAAAATTTCAACATCCTTCGTAACAATTCCAGCGGCGAATCTTTTACGGAGCCGGCTCCCACATCGAAACATTTCGTACACAGAAGTGGCCCGTGCCCCGTAAGGTGTACGAGGCACGGAATTAACGTCGTTACGTTTTACGGCCGCCTCGTCTGCAGAAACTGATTCGTTGTAAGGAGAAAAACGAGCGAGGACAGCACGTAACACGAGCGAAACACCGTCGCGCGGCGTTTCACGATCGCCAGGGAAGGAGGGAATCGTTTCTACAGGAAATAGCGGCGCAAAACGTGGCCGGGGACGGGGGTCTGGCGCAGGAGGGAGGCAAGTAGAGCTTTTCGAAGACCTTTGTCAGCGTTTAGTACTCAGACGACCGTAAGAATTTTGCGCTCGCCTCGCGTTGCGCCGTACGGTTTAATGGCTATGCACATGTTTTTCGCGTAAATTCCCTTGCGCCGTGAACGTTCCTCGACGTCAACTCGTCTGGGTCGTTCCCCTTGCACCCCCAAAATTGTTATATGCTGCTCGAATAAAATTTTGACGGACTCGAACGGTCCGTTAGAAATTTTTACCGCGAAACTGACGCTTCATTTGCTCGCCGATTTCACGGATTCTAAATTCCATGCTTTTTACCGGAATTATTTGTTAGCAATCTATGTCGAATTCTGTATTCTAGTTAAAAGAGGAGAGTTACATTAAAATACTGGAACGAGGGACCGTAACAAAGCGGAGGCGTATGTAAGGCAGGTCGAAGAAAGGGAAATGCAAGTGAGAAATCACGCAAAGGATTAGAAAGTACCTGAAGGAAAGCAGGCTAAGGTTGCAGGGTCAAGCGTGGAGCCTCCTAATTTATAGCCGCCGTGACTAGTCGTTTGACGTAAGAAAACCGTCAAATTTAAACGATGGCTTATTAGAATGCAGTCATACTTAATCCATAAGGAAACGTTCTACTTAAGTATTACAAACGCGACTAACGATGCAACGCGGAGCAGGTAAAAACGTAATCTGAAAGCTGAGAGTCAGTCAACCCGTGCAATAAACTACACTTCATCGTGGCGAATGATAATCAGATATAGATTAACGCGAATCTACCCGACTTGCACAATAAGACAACCTGCGATTCGGTGTTACAGATTGACTCGTATAAATTAAATAATATAAACTCCGTTTAATCTCGAACGAAACTCGATGTCGTGGCACACATGGTGACTTTTATTCGATAAACGTTTCTCTACGAAGTAACATGCAGAGAAAACTTTAGTCGTACAAGACTGGACGGATACAGAGGTTACGGAATTGGTCCTCCTCGACCATCCATCTTTGTATCGGTCAAACGAACCACGTGAATATCGATAACCTGGTCTTATCATCATCTATCACAAGTTTCTACCCAAGTTTTTCCCACCCTTGGTTCTTATAAAATGCCATTTCCTTTCTATCGCTCGTTGAACGTTTTTATTCGGGAAACTTTTGGAACGCCGACGATATAAAAGTTATTTTTCCAAGACGTTTGTTTTTATTATTATTCTGTGGCCAGTAGCTCTGATTGGAGGAACGAATAAAAATCTTCAATAATGATTCTGAACAATTTAGTTGATTTCCAGTGTTTAGAAACCCGATCCATGATTCTCATAATGCGGATCGCGTAATGTTGATTCGCTACGCTCTTTAAAGTCAGTAACGGATCGATCCATAACGGATAAAGGATAGAATCTAGCAAAACGCAACCGTAATACGATGTGCGTCTGTGGAACCATAGGAATCCTCTTACTTCGAGTTTGTTACATTTCTCAGACCTCGTGCACGCACTGGGAAGGCTCAATTAGGTCTTTCGAGCAATCTCTCATTATACCAGTAGCATTCACGCCGTACAAGCACTATTTTTATGCTGTTAACCCATTAACTGAATCATTTCTTAACCAGAAACTCTCGCTGCTCGCATAATTACGAGTGGCTAAAGACGAGTTAATTTGTATCGCTCGAAAGAAATGCGTATCTGACGTAATTTATTCCGAACGTGTAGTGCTTTCACCGCGGGGGGGAATAAAAAACAGGCACATCGGTAAAGACTCATTTGTCTTGTCGATAGGAAATGCGAGTTTAGCGTGATCTATTCATGAG